CATCCTTTGATAAAGAACAGTCAGAGGTTTGGAAATGTTATTGGCTAGCGACAGTGTCCGGGGATGCATGTTGTCCGCACCTGGGGATGAATTATTACGCAAAGTTAATAGTTTTGTTCTAACTTTCTCACTTTCAAAAGCCATGTTATCCAGTGACGGACACGATGTATAGGGTAGTTTGCTTGGAATTTGTAATGCTTCGTGTGTCGTTGCAGTAAACACCTGAGCGAACTGTTTTTTGAGGAACTCTGCTGCTTCTAGAGTGGTGGTTGAAACATTTCCGCACGATCTCAATGCTGGTATTCCGTATTTCACCTNATTCTTGGCACATCAATATGTCCTCTCGTACCAACTTGGTACACTGATTTTGCAGTAAAGAATAGTAATTCCAAGTTTCGATAGATGGACATCTTCTGTACTCCCGCCAGGAAACGTTCCTTTGCTATATTCATTTATTTTGTATTGATTTCAATGGTAGTAGTAGTAATAATGTTATCTTTCCAAAAGGCAATGCTGGCCGAGGAGAGTTGTTTATTGCAGAATACAGATTGAAGCTCACTGATTTTGCATGCATAACACGAAAACCTTATCCGAAACATATCATCGTAACACATCGCGACACATAGATTAATGGGTAGAGCAGGCAGTGTTTATTCTTCCCAAACATATTACTTGGTCCTTGATGGTCTTGTTCTATTTTTAATCAACGAAAGTTACCGACTACTCACAAGTGAGTAGTATCTCACAACACTCCTCCCCCCGGCGGAAGAGATCTCTGCATGCATTGATCAATTGACGACTGCTTCTTGGATTGTGCTCGCGTTTGTTTTTGATTTTCGACGTTTGGCGGCGTCCTGTCTGACGTTGTTATTGGAATCTGGAACTTCTTTTGTTGGTTTATTGCGTGTGCTGTACCTTTGCTCGTGCCATGTTGCGAGATTGTTCGATGTACACGACGGACTTCGTTCATCCGTTGAATTTTGTACACAGGATGGCGTTCTTCAACTATGCGGTATGGACCTTTCCATTTTGGAATTAACTTCCTCGAGCCAGGGCCGCTCGCGAATCCCCACACATGCTGCTTATGTTTTACTTTAGGTCCAACCGGAAGCACACTGGCCGGCCGTCCAGTTTGTATCCTCAACTTGCGCATTATATCCTCCTGAGCCTTCTTCAGGTTATGCCGGGCTTCGCTTCTTGTCCTGTTGTTGCGGAGATAAATCGTTTCGCGGCCAAATGCCAACGTCGAGATCCACTGGCAGCTTCGGAATTCTTCCGTACATCAGTTCAAATGGTGTGTGTTTGGTACTGGCATGCGTGGTCCAGCGGTAAGCCAAAAGTGGGGAAGGTAGGGCCGACTCCCAATCCCCTCCTTTCGCTGCCAGCCATTCTTTGATTGTTCTGTCATTGCGTTCCCGTCAGGCCGTTGGTTTTTGGATGACAGGGCGTTGTGCGTATCTTTTGATGCCTAATTTCCGTAAGCACGTGCGAAATTC